GATTGGGGATAAGATTACCACTCAATTCTTTCCTTGATGGCAACTGGTATTTCGGATCAAGAGACTCAACCAACATTACAAAGCCAGGTTCTTCCACAGTTTGCAGTGGATGCATACCCTTAGCTATGTATCTCACTAATGCATCTGTTACCTGTTTCTGCTTCGTATTCTCTTTAGGATACTTAACTTCTGTTGTTAAAGACTCTTCTGTACTTGACTGTCTTTTCAGTATTCGTTCTGTAAATGGTGAAATTGCAGTAATGTTAATGCTGGTAACTGATGAGGACGGTGTGACTGCTTCAACACTGTCTGATCCTGTTAATGTCATTTTTGGAGGAGTTTTAACCTTAGCGCTTTGAGGAAGTTCACTGAATATAGCGTTGTGCCGCAGTTTTAGGTGGTTTCGCATATTCGAAGTATTGCCACAGAATTTTAGTACTGCTTCACAATGTATGCACACATATAAATTACGACTGTCTTCCCGATAGCCGAAATGTTCCCATACAGCTGATTTGTTTTTATTATGCAACAGATTCAACTCTGCAAAACGATCAGCGTGTTCACTTTTACAATTTGCCATTGTTGATTATTTTTGCAAAATATACACTAAGCAGCTATCGTAGTAGCACACGTCATTTTACTGTTATTAACAGAGCCCACACTTGGTTATATAGGATGTAGGCTCAAGAACATTTTCAGGTTTGTATTGGACGTTACCCGTGTACACGCCCTTTAAAAATGTTCACCAATAGTAAGGGTGTTGCATGACCAATCAGAGCCAATAAGGTTAGAAAATACTATAACATGGTTAAGGAAAACTGGGGTAACTTTAGTACACTATTACTAAATATAGTAATTAAATAACCCTTTAAAATAATTGTCCTTAGATTTCTTGTCGTAAAGCTATTAATGATTCTTCTTAGCGTATGAAATAGGTAATATATATATATATATATATATATATATTTCAGTATCGTTCCGATCCTAGAAAATATATAAGTACAACGTCTACTATTTGGAACGAATACTTGTGATGATACGAGATAAACTCTTTTCAGAGATTATAATTATTCATAAGGTGGAAATAGAAGTATTATAAGAAATATTAGAGATTCATTAACACCGAAAAAATATTTAACTGTCTAAGTTTCTGAATTTTACATTTTACAGTACAGGCTGGAAGAAACTGTAGAAACACATGCGTTCTGGGAAATCAATAAATTTTACACTTACTGTACGAAGAACTAAAGCAGAACTTGACGACAGACAGACTTAACTCAGCAGTTCGTTTAATTAATTACAACTAAACGGTGTTAAATATTATTAAACTGTTATTAGTCGATGACTAGTAGTAATTTCCGACAATCAGTTTTTTGGGGGCGAATAATGAATATTAACTTGCTCGTAACTTTTTTGTATTAAATCAATCTTCTCTTACCTTAGTCATACTGGTTACGTTTATAACTTGTAATAAGTAAACTATATGTAGAACCACATTACTATTTAGTCCAAACAAGGTAAACACGAACACTGTGGCTAGTTATATAATTAACGAATACTTTCATACATTGAGTTGTGTACAAGCAGAAGTACAAGTAACTCTAACTGTCGTGTCATCTGAAGCTGAACTAGAAAAACATGCAGGGATCATGACTTTTTTATATTATTATTCAACCGCATTTGTAAGATTCTCATTTAAAATTATATTTCTGAAGTTTAAACATTATATTTTTTAGATTTTGATTTCTGAATCTTTCTGTGATTCTTGGTTTTCTCTACATCATATGTGTCCATCTCACTTAGCGATTTAATTGTGGAAGAAGTTTTAAATGTAGGGAAGATCGGGGCACGGTGAGCCCCATTTTATATTTTGGTGCACTAAAAGACAAAGATTATAGTAATAGGATACTAGCACGTCATTATACTTTACTATGTTGGTTAATTATTAGCTAAGATTCATAATGCTATCTTGAAATTTGTAGTACAACTACAAGGAATTTGCTTTATAAAAACAAAAACAAATTGGCTTGACCCACCCCATACTTATGGCAGCTTGATCCAAAAACCGGGGCACATTGAATTAGCCAATGGTGCAAAGTAAATAAAAAAGTATAAGTTTTTAGATATATCCGAATAAAAACAACAACTGATATTTATTTAAAACATACATAATCCCCTCTTAGTAGCACAGCTTTGTGCTTAACTTCAAACAAACAAACATATATAAAACGAAAACATCACAAAATATAATGTTCTCAATCTTAATTACTCAGTGTTATTAGCAGAAAGATTTCACAGTTTGTAAAGATCCATGGGGGCCCGGCATGGCCAGGTGGATAAGGCGCTCGACTCTCAATCTGAGGGTCGCGGGTTCGAATCCCCGTCCCACCAAACATGCTCGCCCTTTCAGCCGTGGGGGCGTTATCATGTGACGGTCAATCCCACTATTCGTTGGTAAAAGAGTAGCCCAAGAGTTGGCGGTGGGTGGTGATGACTAGCTGCCTTCCCTCTAGTCTTACACTGCTAAATTAGGGACGGCTAGCGCAGATAGCCCTCGTGTAGCTTTGTGCGAAATTCAAAAACAAACAGATCCTTCCACAATATTAAGCTTCACATATTAGCAACATTATATATAAAATTAGTGCAACAAGCATGAAAGTTAATATATTAAAAAGTATGCATATATCAGAAGAAAACTTCTAAAAAAATCACATGAACCTTTAAAATTAAACATAAAACTTCTCAGCCAACTTAAGTTGTTTAGAACACTAATAAAAGTTAGACCTAGTCTGTATCAAGTGTGAACTTATCATTCACACACCAATAATAAAGAACCAATGATCTTTTCATGTATCTTAGTGCCTAATTCAATAAAATAAAAGTACTTGAAATCCATTTCAATGTGGTATTTTCATAGACCAAGTTTACTGACATTTACATTGGTTGAGTTCAATTAAAAAAAATATGTGATTCCAAAAAATCTTTTAATGGCCCCTGTATCAAATGAACAAGGGAGATGAATAGAGATATCATCCCTATCCATGTGCACTGAAGACACATCTTCTACTGCTGGTTTTACAAATCATCCTGGTGGTTTTGTATTCTGATGTCAGGACAAAATAACCAAAGAACGTGAATCTTCATCATCAACCAGTTACCCAATATAATAGAAAGGTTTGTTTGAGTTTACTGCAATTAATTGTATCAGCACATAGTAACCTGTCCTAAGGGTTTTATCAGAGTCAACTTCTTGAAGTAGCTGCCTTTCAAATTCATTGACTTTATCTTCATAGAAGTCATCATCACTGTGGAAATATTCCTCTTCATTTTCATACTTCTTGTCATGAGTTAAAGTTGCATCCTGAATGAGTTTTTTCCTTAATTTCTGTTTCTATTTTTTCTGGTTTTGTTAATTTTCAACAGATTTTATTGTCTTCCTCTTGTTTTGTTTTCTCAGCCAATAGCTATGACATTTCTATCAGTCTCTCCTTTTCATGCATACTAGTCAAAAGTTTTGTAGACATAAGCTTTCAACCTATTCTGTTGGCTCTTTTGTATACACTCATCCTAGGAATTGGTCTTATATATTCAGTGGGAACTGCATGAGCTTTCTTGGTATTATTGTGATTTCAGTTGGAGTGGCTGCCACTCCAGATTTTCCAGATGGGAGAGTGGACATTTCTTCTGTTTCGGGTGAGAGAGTTTCCCTGGCCTTTCAATGAGGGTAGTATGTGGTTCAATATTTGGCTTAAAAATTGTCAAGGGAAGGAAGTCTGCCTCATTAAAAATATCAGAGTTCACTGATCAGATGCCACTTTTCTTAAAACTTTTCATAACATTGGTGTATGAACAAGTTTGGTGAAAGGCTCAAGAAAAACATCTAGGCAGGTCATGTATAGTGATCTCTTCCATTTCTTCACTGCCTTGTTGTGACATGTTTTGAAAGGCCCATACACTGAAACATCTAAAGGATGCAATCATCAACTGTAGCTTTATTAAATCCATGAGCACGTGCTATGTTTGTGGGTTCTGGTGATTGCAGTCTCTTTATAAAACTTGCCATCCATTCTTTCACAGTACTTTGTCTTTCAGTCCAACCATTTGGCATTATCCTGTTGAGATTTACCACGTATTCATAGGCAAGATGTTGACCTGCAGCACATCAATAACATACATTCAATAATGTTTAAGGAGTATCTATTAATGTTTCCATATCTCTATTTAAGGAGGAATGATAAAAATAAATGAGAACTTCTACAAACTTTTTTGTCTTTCTTGTATTAAATGTTCGTTTCAAATTGTCCAGACTAACTCAACTCTTTTGAAGTTGTTTTTTTTATGTAGCACCCCATTGTTTGTCCTGTTGATATATTTATCATTTACAAGATCGCTTATGGGTCTTTCTTTTCTTTTCACTTCCTCCACCTTTCTCTTCATCAGTGATGCATCTGTTTTTCCTTGGCCTGTCTTTGACTTATAGTAATACACAATTTCTGAAATCACGAGTGAATAGTTATTAGAATAAACCTTAGAATGATTTTTTTACTAAGTTACATTACATACATTACAGCAGATGCAGCAAAAGGCCTTAATTTGCAAGAGATATTGACTAAAGCTATGTACAATAGAAAATGACCCAAAAGGTGTAACTATGCAACTAGGGCACATTAAGCCACTTAGCTCAATGTGCCTTGGCTTCAGTGGTTCAACTTGCCCCAGTATGGTCTTTCATTATGTAGTACACAATATCTTTACAGGGCAGGCATAAATCACTGTTTAATGATGTGCATGTATTCTCATGTTCTTTACATTCATGTACCAGCTGTATTTTTAAAGATGATTACTAAAACTTGCTTTGTATTTTTGTTTAGCAAAGGATAGGCTTTTCTGAGTACTCTTGATTTCATATTTTTGCATAAACAAATGATGATTTGTTATTAGTTAATTTTATATAAATTGAATGGAATGAAAGTATTCATGTTTCATTACTTTACTTTTAGGAAGCTTCTAGTGAATGGGTGCGTGGAATTAGAGGTTTTGATACTGTTAAGGGCCATTCTAATGTTCTGTTAGGATGGATCAGTGGAAAAGATGCAGAACTAATGCAGACATTAGGAGAAGAAGAAGTGAAAATTAAGTGTGCATTTTTGCTGAGAATGTTTTTGGGTCGAAGTGATATTCCTTTACCAAGAAGAGTCATTAGGTTTGTAGCTTATGATATCAATCATTATTTTGAATGTTAACTTCTGTTATGAATGTTTATTATTTTCATGCAAAATACTGTGAAGGGTAGCTTGTTTCCTTTTATCAGATAATCTGTGCATATCAAGTTACATTTAAATCTATATCCCTGATAAGGTAAGGTAAAGTAACTATAAATGTTCAGTAAGTTAAGAATCATTAATTTAAATGTTATAATAATACAAAAGAAATGACAAACATTTATTAAACTTGTGCTAATAAATGTTGTGTTCTGCAGCTTTTACTGTTGCTATGATGTGTTAGAAATGTCATATTTTCATCATCTTTTAATTGTCGGTGTATTACAGAAACACTTCAGTTCAGTATTGTTGTAAAGTGTTAACTTTCATCATGAATGAAGTTTTTATATCTTCCAGTTGACATGAGTTTTTTGTATTTTACAAAGTCTCTCACACCTTTCAAACAGTTATTTTGCAATGATTATTTAAAAGTGATTATTTTTCAAGGTTGAAGACATTATTATGCTTGCTAAGAACAGTAATGAATATTAAAAATAAAATGAAATTGCCAGTAGCATACAAAAAATTTTAACACAGTCCTGCCACTTGTAATATTGAATATCTGATATTAAAAAGTTATAGAAGCATACCTATTAAAGAGTGGGAAAATTGAGATATGTACTTTACATACTTTTTTACATTGCAGTGAGATTTGCTTTTGTAGGAAACTGAAAATTACTGTTAAATTATTAGTAAGGAAATAATGTATTAAAGTAATATCTAGGTATGTTAAATGTTGTTTCCTAGGCATCTAAAGTTTTTGACGTGGAAATCCTCTAAATTTGCAGGTCAAATTGGCAGAAAAACCAATACATCTGTGGAGCTTATAGTTATCGATCAGTGAGTTACACAAAATTAGGTTTCAGGACAAGTATTTTGGCTGAGCCATTGTATTGCACGCTGTTGAACAAGGAAGTGCCAGAAAAGGTGTGTTCAGAGAGTTTTATAGTCTTTCATAGTCCAGCCAGCAACAAAGATAAGGAGTCAATAAAGCTAGCAGTATCAAGCTATTTAATCTTTTATGTACACATCTTAGGTTCTTGCTTATACCATCATGTTTTGAGATCATATAGGTTGCAGTAATTTGTATAATGTAAGTTTATTGTACAGTAAGTATAATGTGGTATATGAAAATTGTAACCTCATAAGATAGTTAAAAACTACTGTTTTTTTATTTCCACATTACAGTGTAGAATCGTTTTTAAATTATTTAGTGTTTTCATTAACTTATAATTTGAAGTTTTAATTAAAGTTTTATTCATGCATATATATATATACGTGTGATTTTTTGCCCTCAACTGGATGGATCCTATACTTACTAGACTATTTCACAGAACTATTTACTGAGTCTACTTTCTACTCACTAAACTAGTTACATTATTCTTTGTACTTCATGAAGTAAACTATTATTAAATCATGAGTTTATCATCTTTCTTAGATTCTCTCACTTTTTATGCAGTGTGCATATAGAATTCAATTAAGACCCTGTATCTTCTAGTGCTGTGAATTTTCCTTCTAGTCTTTTACAAATATTTCTGGATATAATGACCAATTGGAGGTTCAGTTTATACTTGACAGTGCTTCTTTCATCCCCAAATACTGTTATAGGAGGAAATGGTCCACTTCTATTCTATTTTTTTTTTATCAGTGACAATTGGTCAGATGTGTTCCAATACCTTTTATATAGAATTTAATGACACAGTTGTAGATAAAGTTTGGTCTTCTTCTGATTTCTTTAGGGATTTAGTTTAGTTTTTTGCTGTGTTAAATGTAGAGCCAGCAGGTCTTGTATGCTCTTCCTTTGCATTGCATTTTGAGATCTGGTTCTTCCATTTCTTTTAAAGTTTCATGTGATATCTAATTAAAAAAACACCTTAGGCATGAAAAAAAGGATTGAGCATGCAATTTAAAGGAATGAAATCAAAATTGGTGGTCAAACTGGTAGCTATATTTACAGTATTGATAAGAATTGTACAGTAAATATTCATTCATTAGTTAGCCACTCCATGTTTGTGTTCAACTTGGGGCATGATGGTTGATAAAACAAAATACATGCTCTGCTAACAAATGAATGAACATTTGTTGTAAAATTCTTATCAATGCTATAAGTGTAGCTACCAGTTTGGCTGCCAATTTTGATTTCATTCCTTTAAGTAAGATGCTGAATCCTTTTCTGACCACACCTGTTTTTTACACTTGAGGTGTTTTTGATTAGATATCATGACTTTTTGTCAATACACACCAAAAACCACAGCAAGTAAGAAAGTGACACTTGATAGTAACCAACATTAGCTTTAGGACCGCAACCCTATTATTCGGAACAAACCTATACTTTACAGAATCAACCAGATTTTTTAAAATATATAGTGGCAGTTTTCCTCTCTAAAACAGTGTTATAACTTCCTTTATAGTAATGCCATGGAAACTAGATTAACAGTTTATTGTCATCACTCACATGCACTCGGTACAGCTGTATCAAGCAACAGTATTTACGTTAACTGCTTAAGCTAATATCATGTGATGTTAAATGCTCTTTAATTAGGTGAATTTCATAAAATGTATCAAATTTGTGCTTAAAAGTTGATAATGGACAATAACCGTCCACCCATATAATTATTTGGAAAACTTGAGCTAAAAACTGCTAATCTAGAGTGCTTGGCCTAACCAATACCTATGTATCTGCACATGCTTTCACCCTGTATTTTTGCTGCTCTAAATTAGCCATCTTTAATATGAATGACAAAAAACTAAAAAAATTCCACCTTCACTCTTTGTTGAAGCTATAGTAAAAATTTCAGACGGATAGCTCACATGATTTTTTGCATAGATCGGGTGCAAAAATTTGAGTCAAAATTGAAAGGTTTTTGTTGAATAACTTTGCACGTGGCTTACATTTAGACTAAATTTGACACCTAATTGTAGGTTGTAAAGATTTCTCAGTGTACTAAATTTGAAAAAAAATCCATGAAAGTTAAGTATGTTTTTCTATCAAATAAAGTTTCTGTACTTTTGGTGCAAAGAAATAAAAAGGAAGAAATTCAATCAAAATTCGAGATTTTATATTTCGTGTATTTCTTAATGGATTACCTTGAAATTTGGTATGTGAAATAATGGTCCAGTAGAACACAACCACTGAAAATGTGTGTTAGTTTGGATTATCACAGTCCAAGCTACAGAAAGTGGAAAATTGCTAAACTGTCACCCATGTTAACCCTATCGTTATGGGTATCCTTTACTGTGCATGACACAAGGTTTTAGTGTCTTACATTCAAATTTTATTAAACTACTTTTTGCTTATATTATACC